TTGTGAAATATATTACAATAAAAATAATAAAATTTGGTGACTGATTGGGCAACTGCTGGCTTCAAACTTAGGTAACAGGGGTTGGCAGTAAGACTGCTGCCTTGTCATAACCACAGTCCCAGAGTTAATCCTCTTTCTGTCTAGTATTGGCCAATCTCTGCCTCCACCGACCTACTCCATCAGCAGATCAACTGTCAGTCTCTTCCATTTTACAAAACAATCTACTCCTCAGTTCTGTATGTCCCCTTGCTCACTTCTATCAAACATTCCTCCTTCCCTTTGTCTTCAGAGAAAGTTTTCTACATTAGTTCACACTCTTCCAAAGTGTCCTCTATTACACTTCCTCCCCTCTCATTCACTCTCAACTCACAGCAAGTTAAATACAGCTCTCGTTATTTCCCTGAAACCACACTCTGTCATAGGTCAACAATAAATAAACTCTTTGTAATTAAGTTCAATGAGTGCCTTTCAGTTCTTACTAGAATTTTTCAGTGGCTTCTGACCTTGGTAACCATTTCTTCCAGAGGCATTTACCAGTCAGAGCTTTTGCCTAATTGCTCATTCTAAATCATTTAATGTAACACAAATACACTTATTTAACAAATATTTATTGAGTGCCTGCTATATGGCAGGCACAGTTCTGAGCACGAAGAATATATAAATAGACAAAATAAAATCCCTCTTCAATCTAGTGGAGAGACAACAGATAATAACACTGTGTGTCACATAATTTAAATGTTAAAAAGAAAAATAATAAAGGTTACATCATGCTGATTGGAAGAAGCCTACTCAAAAGAGTTCATACTTACTCCATCTATAGTAAGTTCTACAGCAGGGAAAAGTAATCTACAGTAGAAAAAATTAGAATAGTGATTGCCTCAGAATCACAACTTTCTAGGGTGATATTAATGTTCTATATCTCAATAAAGATTTGAGTTACACAGACATAGATATTTGCCAAAATTCATCAAAATGGTACATTCAAGACTCGTGTTTTTCTTTCTTTGTAATCTTTATCTAAAAAAATTTAAAAATATATTGAATTCCAGTTAATGATTTGCAAGCTGAAGTGTTGAGGAACAAAACATACTGATGTCTGAAACTCATTGAAATGCACTAAAAATCAGATGGATAAAGAGATGAAGAAATGAGATAAGGCAAGCACAATAAAGTGTCAACTTTAAAATCTAGTGGGAAGTGTGTGGGTTTTCACTGCAAAATTATAATTTTCTGTACATTTGTAAATTTTCAACATAAAATGTTGGGGAAAATAAGGCAGGGTAGGGGAATGTGGGGAGACTGGCTTGATTTGGACAGGAGACTCAAAAAAGGCCTCTGGAATGAGGTAACATTTTAACAAAACCTGAGTATATTTGAGAATACATAAAAGAGCACATGCAAAGGTGTTTAGGCGAAATCATGCTTGGCATAACATTCAAATGTTATCTCCAGGCTAGAATACTCTTCTTCAGTTTTGGAACTATACATATAACTGCCTCCTTGGTATATGGCATGAGGTAACATATATCAACTGGATGTCCTACAAAATACAGAACGCTTTCTCTTCACTCTCCTACCCCAAGTCCAACATTCTATCATTATTTTGGTCAAATATGCCACGACCCAGGTGCCTAACCACTATTTAGGGGTGGGGCGGAGGGGTGCAGATTCACAGTGTATTTTTAATCTCTCTGAAAAGTAACTCAATACACTGTCCAATTTTTCACTGATGCGCACTTTAAATTAGATTTTGATACACAGAATTTTTTTATTTCATCTACATATCTCTATAGAAAGTGAATTTAAAAAACCGTGGAGAGTAAAGGGTTGTTTAACAAAACAACTTGAAGTAGCAGTTCTCAACCTGGCTGTGCATTCGAATCAACAGGATTTAGGCACCCATAATCCTATCCTGTTGTTAGCTAAATGACTCAGTAAGTTACCAAACAAAAGAAAACACAGGAACTAGGTAAGATTTTTAAGCAAAGAGGGAAGACGATGTGGAGTTGAAAACTGCTAATTCAAAGGGTTACACAGCCTAGTGCTGTGTATGCCAGAAGAATCCACCTTGGTTCCACTCTTTTCTATTCTATCTCCCCACAACTTATTACCAAGACCCATCTTATGTCAACTTAAAACATTAGCATTTACCTCACTTCAGGCTCTCTTCATTTCTCCCCTGGATTAGTGGCTTTTAAACTTTTTTTGACCACAGTTTACACAGTAAGAAGTGTGTTTTATATAAACATCTCTGTGTATACCAGATTGCTATTTACTGATTTTACTTACACACACACATACACACACACACAGAAAGAGAAAAAGAGAGAGAGAGAGAAAGAGAGAGAGAGAGAGAGAGAAACTTTCAGGAAACAATGCTTATTCTTACATTTAACATTTTCCAGTATTTCCTATTCTCACCTATATTTCTTTATTCAAATGCTGGTCATAACCTATTAATGGGTTGCACTCTACAAATTGAAAAACACTAATCTAGATTACTGCAAAATTCTAATACAAAGATCATAAATGGTGGCAACAAGCCTGCTGAAGCATTTATCTGGTCCCGACAGAATTAGGTGTATGTACTTACTGTTTTGAACTGGAATGCCGGCTTCCCTCATTTATAAAACAGCCGGGCTGCTATCCCAACTCCTTAACTCCTCAGCTGTCTATACCACTGCAAAAATGTTCTTAATAAAAGCAGAGGATTATGTCACTCCCCTGCTTTACATTCTTTAATGCTTATTAGTGGTTTTCAGAAAAAAGTTCAAAACCCTTCGCAATCACACAAAATTCTTCATAGGGCTGTTTTCTCTTCAGCATTATATATCTTGCTGCCTCAAATGCTGAACTCAAACTATAACAAAATAATAATTCCTGGGTTCAGCATACTCATTTTCATGGGTACTAGGGATTTGAATGTGCAGTCGGCTCTGCTGAAAATGAAACTTTTCACCACTGTGCTAACTATAACTCCTCCTCTTCTTTCAGAATCCACTGAAGTGTCACAGCTTTCAGAAAGTATTCTCCGATGTCAACAGCACAGGTGACTCCTCCCATTCCTTCTCTGCATGTGTTCCTTGTCATGGCATCGTAAACTTACCTCTGGTATTAGCTTTAATTATACTGTATACTGGCTGATTGTTTACTCCTCTTCCCCACCCCCAGCACTTAGATGATGAGGTTTCTGACAGTAAGAATAGTTTTTGTTTTGTTTTGTTTTGTTTTTTTAAGATGGAGTCTCGTTCTGTCATCCAGGCTGAAGTGCAGTGGCGCAATCTCAGTTCACTGCAAGCTCCGCCTCCCGGGTTCAAGCGATTCTCCTGCCTCAGCCTCCCGAGTAGCTGAGACTACAGGCGTCCATCACCATGCCTGGTTAATTTTTTGTATGTTTAGTAGAGATGGGGTTTCACCGTGTTAGCCAGGATGGTCTCGATCTCCTGACCTCGTCCTCCCAAAGTGCTGGGATTACAGGCGTGAGCCACCGCGCCCGGCTAAGAATAGCTTTTTATATGTCTTTGCCACAGTGACTGTTACATGAGAGACTAGGATAAATGACTAATTTACCAAAGACAGAGGACACAGGACAAGAGATTCTTGAGAGGGAAAGGAAAGCTGAAACATTTGCAGGAAAAAGAAGAGGGAAAAGCGGTTGAAAATAAGCTCAGAGAAAAGTCTGGCCTGAACATATAGATTTAATAGTTAAAATGATGGAGCACTGGCCAGGTGTGGTGGCTCACACCTGTGATCCCAACACTTTGGGAGGCGAGGCGGGTGGATAACGAGGTCAGGAGTTTGAAACCAGCCTGACCAACATGGAGAAACCCCTGTCTCTACTAAAAATACAAAAATTAGCTGGGCATGGTGGCAGGTGCCTCTAATCCCAGCCCCTCACGAAGCAGAGGCAGGAGAATCACTTGAATCTGGGAGGCAGAAGTTGCAGTGAGTCAAGACTGTGCCATTGCACTCTAGCCTGGACAACAAGAGTGAAACTCCATTCCAAAACAATAATAATGGAGAGTGCTAGATCTACTGGGGTAAGCACACAAAGGAAGACCAAAGGTTGAAACCATAATTATGCAGTGGACAACTTCAGATGAGCCAGTAAGGGGCACTGAGAAAAAACAATTCTAAAAAAAACCAAGGTACATTAACAGTGACTGAGGTAAGAAAATGAAGACAATAGTGTAGAGACATCTAGAAGTGCAGTTGCAACAGCTACAAGAGTTGACATTCTGATCACTGTAAGCTGTGTTGGAAAGCACTGTGTCCATATTTTGATTGCAGCACTTTCTGACCGTATTGTATATACTGTACACGTTTACAACTGTGAATCACTACATAAGCTTCTTGAAGGCAGAGACAATTAATCATTAATTAATATTAGTATTACCAGTGCCAAAGGTCAAAGAAATTGTTACATGAATACAGAGGAGATGACCAAATGGAATAAACATATAGAATACTCTTTAAAGAAAATCATGGGGAGCTAAATAATTATAATGAGAAACTTAAAAGAGCTTAAGAATTACTAACCAGCAATGAAAAACTGTGTTTTTAATAGTCAATCAGCAAGGTATGTGACTCTCCAGCACTCAATTTATTAGCTGAGGAAAAGAAGAGCTATTTCCTCCCCAGCATGAGGTCTGGAAACAGACCACCAAGGATGCTAGAGAACTGAAGATATTATATGGAGTGTCATGGTCACTCTTATGAAAAGTAAAAATAAACCAAGAATCAAATCAAGAGGGTTTTGCTAATTAACATCAGGTTTTTTGTTTTCCCTTCATACTACATATATTTCAACCAGATGAGCAATTGTTCTTAGTTTCAAAAAGTACTTCTTTGTAGCAAGTAAATAAATAGTATGATTCAGATCCCAACTTAGATTTTGAAGTTCTGAACAATGAAAACATTTTATACACACATTCAATAGTCATATGTTAACAGACAGTTGCTACTTAAATGCAAGTCAGACATTAAAAAATTTAACATACCCTGATGGCAAGGTTTCTGCATTGGCATTCCCAGACTGCTGCCGTACAGGATCCACACACCCATCTGGCTGTCTTGATTTGGCTGCTTCAAAAGCAGAACTACTTCTAGAATTAGAGGTGTCAGGCTCTAATATACTTCTAGCTTCAGATCCCAATTCTGCACTGGTAGAAGGAATACATTCATTGTTTTCTGAGGAAGTCAGTATTTCTTGAACTGGAGGATCTTCAACAGTAGTACTAGTGCAATTTGGAGACAAGGCATTTTCTTCAGACACTACTGGAGTACCCGTGACAGAAGCATTATCAGTTGGTGCAAATGAGGATGATTCTCCATTAACTGAGAAGGGAAAATTAATAAAACAATCTATCAAGTAATGATAAAGCAATCAATTACCTAATCAATTGACTACACTTATTCAGAGCCTAATCCAGACTAAGCAACTACAATCCATTCTCCAAACAGCAGACAAAGTAATCTTTTCAAAATATGTAACATAAAATAAAATGGAGATTTTTTTTGTTGCTCAAAATTTCAGGGATAAATATGTAAACGATAAAAATTTAAGTATGTATAATAATAACAACCTTAAGGAGAGAGGCACCAACATTAAGATAACCAATGTTTTCCCTCCAAATCATCAATTCTGAGAAGTCTGTATGGGCCATCTAAACTTTGAAAAATGATCCCTTTCAATTGCTCTTCTCTTGTGTAAATGATAGCTAACGTCAAACAAACTGTTTTGCCAATAGTAGGAATTATATGATGGCATCAATTCTTAAAATAGCACTATAGGGGTTACAAGAACCTGTTCTACACTTTTTCAAGAAATAACCCAGTACTGCAATCCAGTGACACAGTTTTCCTAATTTTCATTTTAAGTGTGATTGATTGCTCTAGTTCGACTATGTGTCACTATAAAAATGAGTCAAATTAAAACTGTAAGGGTGAACAGATTACAGAATAAAACCTACTGGAAAACCACATATCAAATGGCAGAGGGAGACATAATCACAAATTTTAGGAGAATTAATGACAAAAAACCCCACTCAGATTAAATGCTACTGGACATGGCCAAAGAAGTACCAAAGATGTAAGAAAAAAAGGTAATAAAAGAGCTTAGAATTCATTCCAGGTACAGAAAAAAAGAAAAAAGTAACTAGAAGAAAATGAATTTTGATCAAAAGACCCAAAAAAAAAGATTAGAATTTCCTAATGCACCTGATATGACTCAAGAACTTACTGAAAATATAATATCTAAGTCCTCATACCAGACTTATTGAATCTCTAGGGGAAATCGCTAGGGAGGAACCTGGGGATCTGCATTTTCAACAAATGCATATGATTTTTTTAATCAGGAAAGCTGGAGAAACCATAAAATATACCTTTCCAAGTTTTATAAAGAAAACATGTTTAATATAAATAACATTAGAAATACCACGTACAATTTCCTATCAATGAGTTTGAAATTAGCTAAACTAACTCAAAGGAAAGAAAAAAAAGACAAATCAGAGTAGCAATGGAAAAGGTGATGAAAGTTCTAATACCATCGCTCCTAAAGGCCCCAGGCTCAGAAAGGTTTCTGAGAAAATTCTATGAAGACTTTATCAGATAGATCATTCCTACGTTATTTAAGGTGTTATAACACATTAGGGGAGAAAAAGTGAAAAGGAGTGTCCTAACTCACTCTGGGAAGGTAATGTAATGTAACCTTTCAAAGCTGAAACTGAACAACAACAGAACAAGACTATAGACTAACATCATGTATAAATTCAAGGATGATTTGATATTAGGAAACTACATTAGAAAATCTACTATGTTAGCAGATTAAAGGATAAACATCATATGATTATTTTCAATACAAACCAAAAGCATTCAAGAAAATCTTGGTAAAATACCTGACAAGAAGAATCAGGAAAAATTTAGAAGTAATCTAGATTATCACAAACCTATAGTCATTAATATACAATAATTGTAAAACATTTTAAGAACCTCTTTTTTTTTTTTTTTTTGAGATGGTGTCTCGCTCTGTGGCCCAGGCTGGCATGCAGTGGCGCGATCACAGCTCATTGCAACCTCCGTCTCCCAGGTTCAAACGATTCTCCTTCCTCAGCCCCCCCAAGTAGCTGGGATTACAGGCGCCTGTCACCAAGTCCCGTTAATTTTCCTATTTTTTTGGTAGAGACGGGGTTTCACCTTGTTGGCCAGGCCAGTCTCGAACTCCTGACCACAAATGAACCACCCGACTTGGCCTCCCAAAGTGCTGGGATTACAGGCATGTTTTTACATGCCTGGGATTACATGGCCTCCCAAAGTACTGGGATTACAGCCTATTGTAAGAACTTCTATTAAGATCAAGAATAAATTAAAATCAGGGCTGGGCGTGGTGGCTCATGCCTGTAATCCCAGCACTTTGGGAGGCCGAAGTGGGTGGATCACGAGGTCAGGAGTTTGAGACCAGCCCGACCAACATGGTGAAACCCCATCTCTGCCAAAAAATAGGAAAATTAGCTGGGTGTGGTGGTGTGTGCCTATAATCCCATCTACTTAGGAGGCTGAGGCAGGAGAATCGCTGGAATCCAGGAGGTGGAGGTTGCAGTGAGCCGGGATCATGCCACTGTACTCTAGCCTGGGCAAAAGAGCAAGACTCTGTCTGAAAAAAAAAAAAAAAAGAAAAAGAAAAAGAGTAAATTAAAATCAGCAACAAAACAAAGAAGATCACAATTACCATGCCAATTCAATATTGATTATATTTGAAAATCCATTAAGAAAAGTCATAACAACATTGGAAAGAAGACGGTAAGACTCATTTGTAATGAAAATGACAAATACATTATTTATTTAGAACACACAAGAAAATTTTTCTTAAAAACCCATTAGAACCAATTAATTGGAGCTAAAACATTTCAGCAAAATGAACAGACACAAGATCAACATCAAGATTACATTTAAAAAAAAAAAAAATTCTTGCTGTCACCCAGACTGGAGTGCAGTAGTTGAATCTCAGCTCACTGCAACCTCAGCACCCCAGGTTCAAGTGATTCTCCTGCCTCGGCCTCCCAAGTAGCTGGAATTATAGGCGTGTGCCATCACACCCGGCTAATTTTTTTTGCATTTTTAGTAGAGACAGGGTTTCATCATGTTGGCCAAGCTGGTCTTGAACTCCTGATCTCAAGTGATTCCCCAGCCTGGGCCTCCCAAAATGCTGGGATTACAGGCATGAGCCACTGCACACCCAGCATGAAGAAAACATTTTTAAAACCATTACTAAAAAGACAGAATGAATACAGACATAAAATATCTCTCAATGGGAAGATTCAGTATTGTTAAAGTAATAATATACAATAAACTCTCCTTGAAATGCAAATGTTGGTCAGATGCAAAGCACTACAAATTCTCATTCATTGCAGTGGGAATGCAGGAGTACAGACACTTTGAAAGACAGTTTGGCCGTATGTTACAAAAGTAAACATACTTTAAAAACACAACCCACCACTCTCACTCCTCAGTACAAATGAACTGAAAACTTATATTCACGTAAGAGCCTGCACACAAATGTATGTAGCAATGTTTTTCACAATTGCCAAAAACTGCAGTAACCAAGGAGCCTTAATAAGTGAATATTTAGTGATAAAAAGAAATGAGAAGTCAAGCCACAAAAAAACATGGAGAAACCTTAAATGCACATTGCTAAGTGAAAGAAGCCAATGTGAAAAGGCTACACACACTGTAGGACTCCAATTATGTAACATCCTGGAAAGGACAAAACTACAGAGACAGTATTTAAAAACAGTGGTTGCAAAGGGTTTGAGGGATGAATAAATGAAACATGACAATATGAATTTCTCAAACCCACAGAACCAGTACAACACAAAGAAGGAACCTTAATGTAAGGTAACATAAACTATGGACTTTAGTTAATAACAATGTATTAATAATGGTTCATTAATTGTAACAAACATACCACAGTAATGCAAAATGTTAATAAGAGAAAAACTCTGAGTGGGGTGGGAGGACATATGGAAACACTCTACAATCTGCCCAATTTTCCTGTAAATCTAAAACTGTTCTAAAATATAAAATCTATTAATTTAAAAAAGCTTGCTTAGAAACAAATTATTTCTATTCAATAATTCAACAAATGTTTGTTCTTCAATACTGCTCAGAACTGCATTAAGATGCCAAAATAATATTTGATTGGAGAGATTACTATTCATATATATCAATGGTTCTTGACTAGGGAAGATTCTGCTCTCCCCACCTCCAAAGACATTTAGTAATGTCTGCAAATGCATTTTGTCATCACAACTAGGAGAAGGTAAGACATTACTGGCACCTAGTGCATACAGGTCAGGAATACTGCTAAACATTCTATTAATATAATGCACAGGACAGCCCCCTACAACAAAGAATTACCTGGGCCAATATGTCAGTAGTGCTGAAATTGAGAAACTCTGATACCTATGTGCCCAGCCACCTGGCAGTGTGCAGCCTATGGTAGTTGCAAAATAAACATCTGTTGACAAATGGATATAAGAAAGACTGAACAGATAAAACCGAAAAAAGAAGGAAAGAAAAAGGAAAGAGGAAGGACAGGATGGTAGGCTCCCTGCTCATGCAGAAACATGGGGCAAAAAATTAAAATCTTATGTAACAGGTATGATAGCAGAAGCTTATGCAAACCATATCATCTCCACAAGACATAAGACCACACTCACTGACTTGGTTTCTTAATGAACATATCCCAAGCCTTACTTGTAGCCATTATGACTTCTGGGTTATAAGACATATCTTCCTAACTTTATGTTTAGTCTTTGAGAGGTTAATTTTCGCATGAACTTTATGGTATATCCATTTCAAAGCACCATGCAATTATCCTCACTCTAAAAGTACATTCAAATATAAAGAAGAAAAAAGTAGAAATACTAAATACCATTTTTTCTCCATTTTAAAATTACGACATGAAAAATAACTGTTTGCATATACACAGCAAGTTTCTTTAATATTCAGTTCACACTTGAGAGTGGATGTGGCTTTAAAGAGGGTACATCATGAAGGAGTCTTCTGGTGATGGTACAGTACTGTATCTGGATTGAACTGGTGGTACATGAAGCCATATGCGTGACAAAACTGTACAGAAACACACAGACACACGCAGGTAGAAATTGTGAAATGTGAACAAGCTCTATGGGTTATATGCATGTAAATTTCCTGATTTTGATACAAAATAGTTGTACAAGATGTTAACACTGGAGGAGGCTGGTGAAGGGTGCATGAGACCTTCCTATACATTTCTTTGCAACTTTTTGTATATTTATAGAGCTAAAAAAAATACAATAAACTTGTGATATCATTTAGTTCTCTACGAAATTTACCACACTGAGCTCTGATCTACTTGATTAATAAAATAATAACTACATATTAGAAAAAGTTATTTTACACTAGAAGTTATGACCAGAGGAACAAAGTAGAAAAGAATATATTTTCCTTAAATACCACTCTCCAAGGACTATTATGTTTTAGATTATCTCATTTAACCTCCAAAACTGTTCTATAAGGTAGTCGCATATTATCCTCTTTTCATAAATTTTTAGGATGCTAAATTTGTCCAAGGTTACAGAGTTAACATGGTAAGTGGTTGAGCTGAGACACCACGTTACCTCCTGTCAGAGGCTAAATCTAATCTTTTTTTTGAGACAGAGTCTTGCTCTGTCGCCCAGGTTTGAGTGCAGTGGTGGGACCTCGGCTCACTGAAAGCTCCGCCTTCTGGGTTCACACCATTCTCCTGCCTCAGTCTCCTGAGTAGGTGGGACTATAGGTGCCCACCACCACGCCCGGCTAATTTTTTGTATTTTTAGTAGAGATGGGGTTTCACCATGTTAGCCAGGATGGCCTCTATCTCCTGACCTCGTGATCCACCTGCCTCCCAAAGTGCTAGGATTACTACATTATGATTGCCTCCCATTTTAACCTGGAATACCTGCCAATCTTCAGAGCAACTAAACTGTCAAATGGATCCCCTTACTCAAGCTTCAAAAGAACAGGAGATGGGGGAGGGGGAAGCCTTCATGTATAATACTGTCTTTGACAAAAATATATCATTTGTCTTAAACCCCTTAGTACTGGCCCATGATCCCTAACCTGAAACCTTAAGTGCCAGGTGTGTTCCAGAATTCATAACTTTTTGGAATTTAGAAAGGTAGCAGTGGACTACATGGTAGCTCACCCCTGTAATCCCAACAATTCGGGAAGGTGAGGTGGTATGATTGCTTGGGGCCAGGAGATTGAGACCAGTCTGGGCAATATGGCAAGACCTCATCTCTACAAAAAATCTTAATATTAGCCAGGCATGGTGGCACAGGCCTGTAGTCCCAACTATTCAGGGGGCTGAGGCAGGAGGATCACTTGAGCCCAGGAGGTCGGAGCTACAGTGAGCCATGATGGGGTTACGGCACTCCAGCCTGGAAGTCAGGGCAAGACCCTGTCTCAAAAAAACAAACAAACAAAGGTAAAGGCATATATATTGTACATTACACTATGCCTGGAGGGGGTTTAGGGGTCACACATCATGACTAAATACATTAATATTTCTGCAGCAAAATGCAGAGATATGCATAGTAAGCACGGTAAGTAAAAACCATAAATAGCCTTCCATCAGTTCTAGTCATTTTGCCACCAAATGAGTTTACCAAAAAAATAAATAAATAAAAATAAAAAACAAACACCTTTTGGTTTCAGAGATTTCAAGCTTGTGGAATTGCTGATTAAGGGATTAAAAACATTTAACATGTTATACATAGAATATACACACCTCCATCCCATCTCCAAAAACAAAAGCTAATTTTTGAAATCCTTAATTAGAAAAAGTAATGCCATCTTACACCAACACCTTAGAAGGACAGGGATTACCCACTCCTTGAAAAGATACCTGAATTCATCCTCCTATTAAGTGATGAACAATCATCCAAAAAGCCATCAGTTAAATGGCTGCTACCAACAGAACAGGTTCCGGAAGCCTCTGTAAACCAGCCAATAGAATGATGACAGTTGGATTGTTTTGTCAGATGTCACTAGCAATAATCAGTGGTGGTGAAAAGGACAGGGGGATGCTGTTTGAAGCCTAGCAGCATAAAAGACGAACAGTATAGCTTTGAGATCCTATAAAAATCACACACATCAAAATGAATAGGAAGAAAGCAAAGCGCACAGAATCAATAGCCAGATAGTGGAATGTCAATTACAGTTCTTCTATTTCTTAGCTGTGCCCTCTCAGTGCCTCAGTTCCTTCATCAGAGAAAAGGAAAAATACTACCACCTATTTCAAAGAGTTATTGTGAGAGAGATAAATCTGTTAATGCATATATACTATTTAGAACATGCAGGGTACAAATAGGAGCTATTATCACTATTTTTCAGATTGTCATAGATTTCCTTACAGTTACTATGAAATGTCATGAGAATTATGATAAGACCCTCATTTCTAGTTCCTCACATTCGTTTTATTTTTACCTTAAAATTTTAGGCAAGGATAAATAAGAAAGAAATGTGAGAACTGAACTTATTACCAATGGAAAGAATCTATACAGTATCAGACAAGCTGTAGAGGTATAAATTAAGATTCTACGATGAGGAAAGCCTCAATTTCTTCTCCTTTTTACATCAACATCTGAATACATCCACATGCCAAAACATACAACTAATTAGTGGTCAATGGATATTTTCACAGATGTATTCAATCAGCTGAATATTTTAGGAATAAGAGCAAAACCTCCAAATCCATATTCAAGGTGAATATCCCTTATCTAAAATGCTTGGAACCAGAAATGTTTCAGATTTCAGATATTTGTTTAAATTTTGGAATATGTGCATTTTACTTGCCAGTTTAGCATCCCTAATCCAAAAATCCAAAATCTGAAATGCTCCAGTGAGCATTTCTGAAATTTCAGCATCAAGTCAATACTCAAACAGTTTCAGATTTTGGAGCATTTTAGATTTGAGATTTTTTAGATTAGAGATACTCCACCTGTATTAGAAATAGTAGCAATTTTAACTGATCTGTTCTTAATTTAGAAATAATCTGAATAATCCAAGATGATATTTCCTTTTCTGCTTTGCTAACAGAACTCTCAGAGACAAATGTTCTTACTAGAAAGTAGGTGAAAATCAGAAAATACATGAACTTTGCTCATTAATAGTTGTATCTATTCTCTTTGTTTTCTAGCCACCTTAAATTAAGACTAAAAAATTCTACCTACTGTGAGTACTTGGGAAACCATCTTTTAGTCTACTTCCTTTTTTTTTTTTTTTTTTTTTAAGGGGAGCATTATTAAAGAAATTGAATTTTAAAAATATCATTCACGTGTCAGTTCTCAATGTTTACGAAAACTCTCAGACAACTCCTGGTAAACATCCCCCAAATACCAACCTTGGATAAAAATACATAATTAAGACTTATTACTGGCTGGGTACAGTGGCTCACGCCTGTCATCCCAGCACTTTGGGAGGCTGAGGCAGGTGGATCACTTGAAGTCAGGAGTTTGAGACCAGTCTGGTCAATATGATGAAACCCCGTCTCTACTAAAAATACAAAAATTAGGGGGACATGGTGGCGCACACCTGTAATCCCAGCTACTCATGAGGCTAAGGCACAAGAATCTCTTGAACCCAGGAGGCAGAAGTTGTAGTGAGCTGAAATCCTGCCACCGCTCTTCAGCCTGGGCAACAGAGTGAGACTCCGTCTCAAAAAAAAAAAAAAAAAAAGACTCATTATCAAAAAGGTCCATCTATTTTAATGTAAATACTGAATTGCTTCTTTACGTATTTCTACTTCTGAATACTTTCCCAGAAATGGACACACACAGGGAGGAATACAGGCTCTTGAATAAAAAGACCAGGATTTCAACTTAATTCCCAACATGTGTGCTAATAATCTTAAAAACATCCTAAGATGTTTAAGTTTCAGGAGACTCACCTGAAAGAGTTAATATACAATGACCAAACAAAGCATTTATGAATCTTATAACTGAGTCCACTAAGGATTATAGAGGACATCTTCCTTAGGCATTCCTTCTATAATACAGTAAAGCTTACTTTTGGAAAATAAACTTTCTGAGAGCTATTCAACTCCTAGTACATTTTTCCACCAAGTTAGATGCCAAGAATAATAAATTTATATACTGAAAGAGGGGATAAAAGAACCATTCATTACTCACTTTTACTAAGAAATCAATGAATTAACTAAAGTTCTTTCAGAAGTATATTTCATACCATGAATTACACAGTACTTTTTGTGGCGTAAAGCTTAAGAATCTAGCTCTCATATATGCACTTGCTTAGTAAAAGTTCTGACCTCTAAAATATTTTTTGAAATATCTTCCTAAACAATCCAGAAAGTTTCATCAAATTATTAGGAAAAATTTCAGGCATTGTAATTTTTAAATTGCTATCATAGACTAGAATATTAAGAAAGACTGCACAGGCTGGGTGCAGTGGCTCATGCCTGTCATCCCAACACTTTAGGGAGGCTGAGGTGGGCAGATCACTTGAGGTCAGGAGTTCGAGACCAGCCAGTTGCCAAAGAGGTGAAACTCTGTCTCTACTAAAAATACAACTTATAGTTGGGCGTGGTGGTGGGTGCCTGTAGTCCCAACTGCTCAGGAGACTGAGGCAGGAGAATTGCTTGAACCCAGGAGGCAGAGGTTGCAGTGAGCCAAGATCGCACCACTGCACTCCAGCCTGGGCAATAGAGTGGGACTCCATCTCACACACACACACACACACACACACACA